TGTGTGTGTGTGTGTGGTATGTATGAGTGTGTGTGGTATATGTGTGTGGTGTGTGTGTGTGCATGCTGTGGTATGGCATGTGTGTTGTGTGTGGCGTTTGTGTGTGTACCTGTATGTGAGTGTGGTGTGTGTGTCTATGGTATATGGTATATGTGTGTGAGTGTAGTGTGTGTATGTGGTGTGGTGTATACAGTGTGTGTATGTCAGATGTATGTGTTCATGTGGGGTATTTACATGTATGAACATAACATGGAGATCCAGGGTTGATGTCTATTGGTCGCCACCTTTCTTTTTTTGAGGCAGGGTCTCTCACTGAACAGCTTGGCCAGCTGGCCAATGAGTTTCAGGGATCATCTCTCTCCCCCCATACCTGCATGCCTAGCTTTATGTGGGACCTGAACACACTAGCATAGCAGGAATTTGATCCACTGAGCATTTCCCAGCTCCCCCAGGAAATAGATTTAGAAATATACTTGGCTAGGCTGGAGAAATGTGAGAGTGAGCACAGTACCTGCTGAGCCAGTACAAGGACTTGAGCTCTGAAGTACAGAACCCATGTATAATGCTGTGTACGGTGCTGTGCATCCCTGTAGCACAGGGGGACAGACACAGGAGACTTGCTGGGACTTGCAGCCACTAGCTCCGCTCCAAGTTCAATAGCAGATAACAGACCATGTCTCAAAAGGACTAAGGTAGAGAGCAGTAAACCAGGACGCCTAACATCCTCCTCAGTCTCCAGAAGAACCTGCAGAGTGAGCACAGTACCTGCTGAGCCAGTACAAGGACTTGAGCTCTGAAGTCCAGAACCCATGTATAATGCTGTGTACGGTGCTGTGCATCCCTGTAGCCAATTCTGTGGGGGACAGACACAGGAGACTTGCTGGGACTTGCAGCCACCAGCTCCGCTCCAAGTTCAATAGCAGATTACAGACCATGTCTCAAAAGGACTAAGGTAGAGAGCAGTAAACCAGGACGCCTAACATCCTCCTCAGTCTCCAGAAGAACCTGCACACATGTGTGCCCACACACCACACATTACACAGACTACACACACATACATAGTACACACATCACACACACATACACCACACATAGTGCATACACATACCCACAACACATACATACACATACCACACACCAACACATGCATACATACATGCGCCACACACTACATACACAGACACCACAGACACACACACCACGCACACACGCACACATGCACCACATACTACATACACACAGACACACACCAAACACACATACACACACCACATAGACTCACATACTACATATTCTACACCCTACCTACCACACACACAAGACTGAGGAAGGATATGGCCACATATACTCAGAGGGGAGGAAGCAGGAATAGTTAATAAACATAACACCCAGTTCAGTGGCATTAAGGGACAATAGCACACAGTGTAGCCTTGGGACGGTTAGATCTTTATTATTTTATAGCATCAAGCCTTGCTAAGGCCTGGAAGGAGCATCACAGGGAGCCCCTAATGGGACTCAGCACCTGCCGTTGGCCCGAGACTGACAACAGCCTGGAATCCTCTGTCTCAGAACCCTGGGGTCCTGTGTGGAAGGCTGGGGTGAGGGCTGTGGCTCAGCTCACAAGGTCACAGTGTACTCTCCTCTTCTGTTCCACTCTTGGCACGTCACCTTGGTAGCCCAAGGTTGGCTGTGGGAGTTGGTAAATGATACAAACAGGATTTTCCCTCCCTTTCCACCTTCCTTCCTTTTAGAGTTGCTGGGTGAAGCACAAGGCATCCTCTCCTCTCCCATCTCCTTGTCCCCTTGACTTCATCCGCCATCACCACCAATTCTTCTCTTATCACCACCTTCTCTCTTGCCTTCTCTTTAGCAGCAGGGCAAATTGTGACAGGCAGTGAGGGGAGGGACAGCTGCAGTCTAGGCAGCTTGGGAAGAGGCCTGGTTATGACTGTCTGAAGCCCTGGGGGGATGGTTGTTAGTAAAGTGCCTGCCAGATAAGCGTGAGCACCGGGTACAGATCACATAAAAGTCAGGTGTGGTGGTGCACCCTGCCATCCACTGCTAGGGAGGATCCGGGTGGGGTTCACTGGCTCTCTAGTCTTGGCAACTGGTGAACTCCACACTCCATAAGGTGGAGGAGAGCAATAGAAGAAGATGCCCAGTATTGCCCTCTGGTTCCCACACACGCACATCTAAACACATATGTGCATATATAGTTTAGCATGAACACATGTATACAACACACACCAAGAGAAGTTTTCAAAAGAGTATCTGGTGGTGACCTTGGAATGTGGGGCAATAAGGCTGTTAAATTCAAGTTGACCCTGATCTATATAGTAAGGCTTAGACCAGCAACAACAACAAAAACCAGAACAAAATAAAATAAGCCATACAATAACAAAACTCAAGAGAATCTGAGTCTAGTTGGTGTTTTGTCCTGGTTAGTGTTTTGTTTTTTATCAACTTGACACAAACTAGAGTCGCCTGGGAAGAGGGAACCGCAACTGAGAAAGTATTCCCATCTGATGGGCCTATAGGCAAGCCTACAGGTTATTTTCTTGATTGATAGTTGATGAGTGTGGGCCCAGCTTACTGTAGGAGGTACCACACCTGGGCAGGTGGTCCTGGGAGCTCTAAGAAAGCAGGCTGAGCAAGCCATGGGGAACAAGCCAGTAAGCAACATTCATCCATGGGCTCTGCATCAGCTCCTGCCTCCAGGTTCCTGCCCTGGACTCCAGCCTTGACTTCCCTCCATGATGGGTGTTACCTGAGAGCTGTAACATGTTTGTCTCCTTTCTGCCTCTCCTCAGGCCTGTCTCCCCATAACGAGCACAGTAAAAACAGTTTAGTCAAAATCTCCACTACACCAAAGCTGCACCTGATAACCAAAACTCAGTGACATCGCTCATTCAAGATAACCAGACTTAGTTCTAGACCCCACAACACCCACTGGACAGTATATAAGAAACCGAGAGCAAGGCTCTGCTCTGTACATCTGAAGAGATCTCACCTTGGTCTGCCCTGCTACTAGAGAGTCTCCCCAAGGGTTCTGAACCTTAAATCAGAGACTTCTTATAGAGACCAACATTCAGCTAAGATACATCACCCAGGTGAGCAGCCTTGGGAAGTTAGGCTTAGGACAGTAGTTAGGAACTTAGAATGTGAACCTTGTATGATGACCCTCGACATAACAAAATATAACTTTTGTTGTACTGTGTGTGTCTACCTCTTTGCTCGTGACACTCCCTCCTGAAGACTGTGTCTGCATCCTAGGGTTGGGGGAAGTTAGGCTTAGGACAGTAGTTAGGAACTTAGAATGTGAACCTTGTGTGATGACCCTTGGCATAACAAAATATAACTTTTGTTGTACTGTGTGTGTCTACCTCTTTGCTTGTGACACTCCCTCCTGAAGACTGTGTCTGCATCCTAGGGTTGATCACATCAGAGGCCTTAGAGGACAGTCTGTAACCTGCCCCCCAACAAGAGATGTGCTCTGTTTTGTAACAATCCCAGTGGCTGTAATGATTTTGTGCCTAGTGGGCATCAGATACCAAGGCTGCCCTATCTGGGGTCCCTTGAGATCCCCCACACTTGCCACAATAACAATCCCAGTGGCTGTAATGATTTTGTGCCTAGTGGGCATCAGATACCTAGGCTGCCCTATCTGGGGTCCCTTGAGATCCCCCATACTTGCCATAACCCTCATCTTGAGGGTGATGGAGACTGGAGATTCAGAGAGAGCAAGTGCTTAGCCTAAAACCACACAGGAAAAGTGTGTTAGAAAAGATCCCATCCTGGTATTCCTCCAGCTCACAGTTCTCCAACTGGTGAGTTATCCCCATGTCACAGCACTGCACATGCTCAGAGCTAAACAGTCCATAAAACATTTACTCCAGCTACATTCGGCTGTGTCATGGGTCACTTTTGTGTCACTGTAACCACAATGCCTGGCAAAGCAACCTAAGGGAAAAGGATTTATTTTGTGGTTTAAGTCCACCATGGTGGGGGAGGCAGGCTATCAACTCACTCTCTTGGCAGCAGGTATATGGCAGTGGCTGCTCACGTCATGGTGGACCAAGAGGCAGAGAGCAAGACAGGTCAAGGGATAGGGATAATTAATGGGCCCACCCCGTGACCTACCACCTTCAGCGGGGCCCCACTTCCTACGGTGTCCACAGTTTCCATAAGAGCACCACCAGCTGCAGCAGGAGCAAGTGTCCAAGCATGAACCCGAGGGCACATTCCATGGGGGACATAATTCAAACTACACACTATCTCATTCTTTTCAAAATACTAATTGTGTTAAAAAGAAATCTGTGAAGTTGATTTTATGACCCTCTACAATAGTGGTTCTCAGCCTTCCTGAAGCTGCCACACTTTAATACAGGTCTTCATGTTGTGGTGACCCCCAGGCATAAAAGTAATTTCGTTGCTACGTCATCACTGTTATTTTGTTATTGCTATGAATTGTAATGTAAATATCTGTGTTTTCTGATGGTCTTAGGTCAGAGACCCACAGATTGAGAACGGTTGTTCTGCAGTGAGCTTTGAAAATCACTCTGGAGACCACTTCTGCCACATGGTCTTTCTAACACAGCTGTCAGCAAATATGACTGCAGGCTGAAGCCAGCCCATTGTCTGCTTTGTAAATAAAAAGTTTTATTGGGGAAACTCATTAGTTAATTTATCAGCCGTGGTCAGTTGGATGAGTAAATAGTTTTAAGAGACTGCATGGCCCTCAGCCTCAAATATTTACCTCTGTGGCCCCTTTCAGGACCAGTTTCTAGCTTATACCTATTTGCTTTGCTTAAACTTCCCTGGGGCTGCCCTCCATCCTCAGGACCATCCCACTGCCTCCCTGCCTCTGCTCCCAATAACCTCCCTTCCATGGGGTCCATGAACTCTTCCAATACTAGCAGGCCAGATGGCAAGTGCCTGGAGAGTCCTTGAGATGCCATCCAGGTCCTTCCCTGGATCCTGACGCCTTCTCTGCTCCACAGGCCTCCTGGGAATGGTCGCACACATGATGTATACACAGGTGTTCCAGGTCACTGTGAGCCTCGGCCCTGAAGACTGGAGACCTCATTCCTGGGACTATGGGTGGTCCTTCTGGTAAGTGACCTTTGACCTTCAGGTACCAGAGTCTGAATCATGCTGGGTATACAAAGGAGCGTGTCAGAATCCTTTGGCTTGTGAATGGTGGGAACCCATTGATTTAACTCAGAAGCTGGGATGAGGGTGGTATACAGGACAGGGGTAGGGAGTGGCGGTGGGCACACACAACCATCTGGGACTCCGTGTTGTGTGTGCCCCATCAGTCTAAGTGAAGACACCCTGGGGCTCAGCAGTGGTAAGCAACTTCCCCCATGGCCAGTATGTCTCTCACATGCAGAGATGAGGCCTCTCTTTTCTCCTGCACGGGCTGAGGTCCCAAACTTCCCTCTGATGGGCACAAGTCCTTTTTTTCTCTTGAATAGTCATGACAACTGGGGAATGGCTCAAGAGTAGTGTTTCAGCTCAAGCAGGCCAACCACTGGAGCTAGGAATGAGTCCTAAGGTGTCCAGGGAGTGCATGCTGGGTGAGCCCCTGCAGTTTCTGCTTCAGGCACAGCTGGATCCAAATCTGACGATTCCCTCAGGGATCCAGTCTTTCTCTCCCCCTTCCTCCGTCTCTCATAGCTTCAGTCTCAAGCAGCTTTCCTCAAAGTTGTGGTAAAAACAGTTGCCAAGCACACTCCAGAACACCTTACAAATGTACTGCAACCTAAAGGGGAAGGGTGGGGGATGAGGGGAGTGGGAGTGGTTTTGTGGGCTTATGTGACCATCCGTGAGCCAATGATTTAAATCCTGAGGAAATGAGAAGGATCTGAAGGGTTGTGGTATTCAAGTCACATGGTCCAGAGCATCCCTTCCACAGGGAGTGTAGAGACTCACAAGGACACAGGCGTTAATGGTGGCGTGAGCTGTTAACAGACAGAAGAGTGTCTGTTAACAGCTACACAGTGTTGCTAGCCTGGCTGTCTGGACCATGTCCTGGTGACTGGGGACACACATTGGCTGGGTTATTCAGCTTATTTCCTGACCACTGTGGCTCTGGGCACACTGTGGCTATTGGGTGGCTGTTCTTTACAGTGCTGGAGATGCAGCAATAGTGGCTCAGGTCCCATGGGTCTCAACAGGGCTCTGGGTCAATACTTCAGGAGACTCAGGGGACTCAAGAAACCTGACAGGAGTGCAGCCCTGAGAGCAGAAGCAGCCAGAGTTCAGTGGTCTGGTGCTCACTGTTGATGAACGGCAGGTGTTCTAGGCATGGTGTTCTATGCCTGCAGCACTCCACAGACTTCTTAGATTGCTATCACCCAGGATTTGACATGAACAGTGACCTCCTGTTGCTTATGTGGGAAACAAGGCTCAGAAAATGAAGACTTTTTTGCCCTGGGTCACACAGCTTCAGTACAGTGCTTAGGATTTGTCTGCACCCCAGGGCACTCAGCAGCCCCTGGCTCCCACTGTAGCACTGGGCTCCCAGGCTGAGCCTGCTGATTTTGACCAAGGGCCTAGTGTTTCCCCCTCAGGCCTGGCTCCTTTGCCCACACTGCCTCCCACACAGCACCACATTCCACAGGACTCATTAAAGCCACCCACCACGAGGCCTGGATTAGGGCAGACACATCCTTCCTTGTCACAGAGGCCTACAGGACAGACAACCCCATTTCTCATTCCTTGTCCATGGGGACTCCACCAAGGCCAAGAAAGGCCATTTCTTTTGCTTTATATATTTGAGGCCTCCCTGGCCCACTCCAGGCAGGGTGTAAGAGACCAGCTTAAGGGAGGGAGCCCCAGACTCTAGCCTGAGGCCCAGCAGGAAGAATGAGGCTGGGGACCCTGGGACACTGAGCATTCTCTGTAGGACACCTGTACTGCAGTTGAAGGTCCCTATGGTCATGTGTGTGGTGCACCCCAGTCTCAAATTACATCTTGAGCAGCCCACAAGAGCCTGCGGCAATTAAGGGTGGTAGACAGGTCTTAGGATGAGGTCAGGGTCAGCATTGAACCTGCCAGTTATAGATGATGGCCCAGTCCCTTACCCACACTTGTCTCAATACTGTCAGGTGAAAAATAGAGACTGCCACATCTACCTCATGGTGGCAGCCCATCCACTCTCTATTGGTGGGTAGAGTACATCACCCAACTACTGGGTTGGGAAAACTGGGTTGGGAGCTACTGGGTTCAAGGAAAACTGCAATACCTAGTATAGCTTTGGGGGTTGGTCCTAGCTTGGAGACTTTCGTAAAAATCTGATTCACATCACTGGGAGATGGCTCAGCACAATGCTGGCTGACAGTGGTTGGTGGCTTGGGCGACTTCTTGTGTATGGTGGCTGGTCCCTAGGGACAGTGTCCCACAATCAAGCACTTGGTGTGTGAGGTCCTGTGACACCAAGCTGCACTCTGTGGGTCAAGGCCAGGTGCAGGAGCCAAGACCTTTGATAGCTGCTCTCATAGACAGAAGCAAAGAAGGGAGCCCATGCTTGGGGATCACGCAGGCTGAGACAGTCACTCAGGCTTGACGGGCTTGCTAGCGTATGTGAGGCCAGCTTCTAGTATTCATACACAGCATATGTTCTGTGAGCAACAGTGGTCATGAAGGAGATCCCAGCCACCAACATTCAGTGTCAGTTACATAATCCAGATGTTCAACAGCCCACATTTGGGGGAGTACTGCAAGATGCTCTTCTCTTCAGGTATCTCAGCTCTCTTTAGCCCACCCAGAACATGCCAGGCAAGACAATGGTGTCTGGGTAGAGTAAGAGTTGATTGGGCCAACAGCTCCAGACCAGATTTAGTGAGTGGCACCCTCAACCTGCCATTGCCTTCCAAGGAGTCACTGACCCGGCTTCTGGGATCAGAAAGTTAGCAACAATGTGGAGTGTGTGTCCCTGAGGAGTCCCACAGTTAACTTCAGAGGCTGCCTGCTGCCTGAAACACTAGTCGGCCTGTGGAGGGTGTGCTGGAAGAGTTTAGATTGTTATGTGGCAGTGTAGGTTTCTGGCTTGTGGCTTGTTGGAAGACCTGGCCTGGCCTGTGCCTAACCAGCCGTGTTGGGTGACATCGCAGCTCAGGCAGGACAAACAGTGACTGGCCTCTGCCCTCCAGCCCTCCCCAGTCTCCACCATGACCTATTGCCTTCTCACCTGCCTGACTCTGCTGGGAGGGCCAAGAGAGTGCAGATGTCCTCCTGAACAAACATTTTCTTTCTGCTTTGCTCTTCATCAAAATGCAGGGGGAAGAGGGCCTCCCGGACTTAGCAAGCATAGCAAACCCCATCCCAGGCAGTCTCTCTGCAGAGTGTAAATTAGAACAGCCAGCCCTAGTGGCACATTTGTAATCTTAGCAGGCACGCACACCCACACACCTCTAAAAGGCCCAGAGAGGCAAAATAGTTCAGCCCAGGCCACACAGGAGAAGAATGAGTTGAGTCCCTGGCCTAGAGGTGACCCTCTACACTGAGCCTCTTGTCCCCTGGGATAAGGGGGCTTCATTGCTGCCCTTCTTTCCTTTCCAATATCCCTGACCCCATGGGAGCTGGGCCCTCTGGGCTGTTTCCTTGCTGAGGACTCCTGGACACCCATGCCACAAGCTGGTCCCAGCAGGTACCTCTGCTGCAGTGCTCTAGGATTGCCTGAGGGCCCCAAGGCCACTGTGGAGGCTTTGCAGGACTGGCTGGTATTCTTTCCAGAGGCTGTGGTCAGCAGAAACTCTGGCCTCCTTTTCTGTAAGATCACGATGGTGAAAGGGCTGCAGTTTCCCACAGGTGTCCTGATGGCTGTACCTTGGCAGTCCCTAGAGCCTGCAGTCATTTTAGCCTGAGCCTAATTCTCTTGGGCTCAGAGGGTGGCCTGGGGTAGGCATTTGTGCCCTCGTCCATAACAGTGAACCTGTGCCCCCAGTCTGCAGCTGTCTGCAGGAGACCTTCCTTGGTGATCAGTTGTTATCTCTGTGCCGGGCCTGGGGTCCTTGCCTAGTAGCAGATGGCACCTTCATATCTACTCCCCAGCATTCCTCTGTGACTCCCAGGGGATAGAGGAGGTGGACAGCCACACTGCCCCGTCACACCACCTTCTCTCTTGTCCCCAAGTGTCCACTGTGCTCTTAGCTGTGAAACCAGACCAGCCACCCCCATACTTCCCTGCACCAGCTCAGCAGTGTGAACTGCAGACACCAGAAGTTTCCAGACCCAGAGGCTTCAAGCTGTGTGCCATGTGCAGGTATCTGGGGGTCTGAGGAAGAGAGACTGGAAGATTAGAGTTGGTGGGGTGTATTCTGAGCCCCGCCCCAGCACACCAGCAGACAGTGTGTTCTCATCTGCTTTTAATCACTTTTTATTTCCTCTGTGTTAACACATTTGCTTATTCATTCCACGATTATTTATTGAGTACCTGCTGTGTGTCATTCTAGGTGACATGGCATAGCAGTGAAGCAGACAGAGCATTTGGGTGTGTGAGGGGAGGGGTAACCACAAAGCAAGACTTCCACTTCTAGGAAGTTAGGATGGACATGTCTCCCACTGCTCTTGCTCTACATGGCTAAGTCTTTGAATGGGCCACAGTAAACAGACTTAGAAGATTCTGGAAGGTGGAAAGAAGCCAGGAGACTGGAGGAAGCACTCAGATGGGGCAGATCCCACAGTTGGAGTTGATGGAGTAAACAACACAGACCTGTCAGAAGGCACAGACAGAATGACAGCCAAGGATCAGGAAGGGTCACAGTCTTGGTCACTTCTCCTGTTACTGTGTTTAAACAGGCAAAAAGAGCTCGAGGGAGAAAGGGTTTATTTCAGCTCACACCTGGAGGCACAGTCCATCATAGGAGGTTGAGGCTGCAGGAACTGGAAGCATCTGTCACATCACATCTACGAGAGCAATGAATGCTCACTCAGCTCACCCCCTTTCCATGCTGTCCAGGACTCAAGCCCAGGGAACGGTAACAACACCAGTGGCTGTGTCTTCTCACCTCAAGTGACTTAATCAACATAGTTCCTTACAGGCATGTCCAGAAACTGAGTAACTCCTCACATGTACGCCTAGAGGCTGTCTCCAAGGTGATTTCAGG